TCAACTTGAACAATTGTCAATTTATCACCTTGAAGATTTACGTTGGGCACATTTTAATGGGTGAAGATATCTAATAGATATGCTAATTTTAGTAATGATGAAAAATCTGTCAAACAATCACTGAGGTGAAATTGCTACTCCACAAAGAATAAGCTTGTCTTTTGATTCCCAAAAACCAGACAAAGCTTTACTTTGTGATAAATTTCAAAGATCAGCAAATGCCAATGGTATTCACTGTCCACATCTTTTAAAAACTGCTCAAAAAGCTTTGAATTTGGTTATTTGCTTTTTAGAAAATTGACTATTTTGACTGATTTAGTAAAGACCTGTTTGTTTGTTTTTTGGTAGCAACTGGATGTTCTCTAAGTATACAACAGTGGTGCATACAGGTCACCAACAATGTGATTTTCTTAATCCATGCTATAAGTCCAATAAGGTTTCCAGACATTTTTGTGGCTATCTGTGTGAATTCCAATGCATTTCAACCAGTCCATGTCATGAGATATTACAAACATGTGTAAGCTGTTAAATATTTCTTCACCTGTTTGTTGTTCATTCGTTCAGTCGTTTCTGACTCTTCATGACTTCATGGACCAGCCCACGCCAGAGCTCCCTGGCAGTCATCACCACCCCCAGCTCCTTCAAGGTCAATCCAGTCACTTCAAGGATACCATCCATCCATCTTGCCCTTGGTCGGCCCCTCTTCCTTTTTCCTTCCATTTCCCCCAGGATCATTGTCTTCTCTAAGCTTTCCTTTCTTCTCATGATGTGGCCAAAATATTTCATCTTGGCCTCTACTATTCTTCCTTCCAGTGAGCAGTCAGGCTTTATTTCTTGAAGTATGGACTGGTTGAATCTTCTCGCTGTCCAAGGCACTCTCAGCACTTTCCTCCAACACCCCAGTTAAAAAGTATCTATTTTCCTTCGCTCAGCCTTCCCTATGTTCTAGTTCTCACATCCGTAGGTGACTATGGGGAATACTATGGCTTTAACTATGCGGATCTTTGTTGCCAGTGTGATGTCTCTACTCTTCACTATTTTATCAAGATTGGACATTGCTCTCCTCCCAAGCAGTAAGTGTCTCCTGATTTCCTGGCTGCAGTCTGCGTCTGCAGTAGTCTTTGCACCTAAAAATACAAAGTCTGTCACTGCCTCCACGTTTTCTCCCTCTATTTCCCAGTTGTCAATCAGTTGTCAATCATTCTTGTTGCCATAATCTTGGTTGTTTTGATGTTTAACTGCAGCCCAGCTTTTGCACTTTCTTCTTTCACCTTAGAAGGCTCCTCAGCTCTTCAGCTGTAGTGTGTAACAATGAAACAAACTGTAAGTCTTATTATCAGGTGTTCATATATAATGTAGCACAATAAGATTACTTATTGTTGTTGTGTTTGCTTTCATCTAGTTTCAAAGCAAAAATAGAGGGATATGTGAATTATTTCTTATAATTGTTCCTTGATATTGGCTGACAAATTGTTGATTCACTTCTTAACTGTGTAGAGGGTTCAAGGAAAAGTCCTTGACAGCTTTCTTATTGATCAACACAAAGCATATTTTTTTTGCAGCATGTAATATATGTTCTTCAGCTATTGTGTGCCTTTTCTCATTTTTATTATTAGCTGAGAAACTTCGAATGGGTCCCCCCACTGTGTTTTATTGTTACAGTCAGTTACAGTCTTTTTTCAAAACATATTTTGCTTTTCAAAAGCTCTTGCTCTTTACTTTTGCTTTTTGTGGCGTGTACTTTATGTTTACTATCAAGATGTCTACACAATGTTGATGGTTTCATGGTTTTGTTGAACTGTACATCATAAAATAACACAGACTGTAGTGGCTGCTTGTGTTCTGAGCCTGTGGATGTGAAGTAAATCAACAGATATTCGTTACTATAGCTGCAGCACTTTTTAAGATGACTGCAAGGAGTTTCATTTTGCTTTGAAGATGCAACGCCATCACAACTTTAACATTTCAAATTCACAGGTAAAGGAAAAGAGAGTCTCTGTCTGCTTATTGATGGTCTATATTTTATTGTATAAAAGCCTACGGATTATTCTAATCTGTAAAAATATTTGCATTAGCAGAAAGTAAAGGAGAAACATGATTATTTTCAATAATCCACAATTACCATTTTGTCTGAACATTCACTTACACTAACTGACTGTGACCTTCTCTTTCTACAAATAATATCTTCCCTTTATATACAAATTTCTTCAAGAACATTCTTGACATAGCTCTACAATTCTGGGAAACAATGGTTGTCCCAAGAATGTGGTGGCACAACATGAACAACAGTACAAAGGTGTCTTCTGACGGTATGTGCAATAGCAAGAAATATAACATGTTTTTTCTCAGCCATGGTATCATTCACTTGTATACGTTTCCCACACAAAGTAACAAGTGTTGAGTACATTTTTCCTACTAAAAGGTTTTTAATAACTTTTGAATGTATTGAGATTTTGTAATAAACCTTTGTGCAAATTATGTCTATCACTAGCAGAAGACTCCTGATCAGTGTGTGTCCATCGGACTGCCTACCTTCTTTCCTTCTCTTTTAATTGTAAATGTCATACCAAGCCTTCACAGAGCCCTTCATGGACTCTTAAAGTTTTTGTGACTTTTTAACACTTTGTCTAATCCCCTAAATGTAGCAAACGTTTATCTATTTTAAGGAAGAAGTATATTTGGTATTTAATATTTTAACTATTTCACCTGTATTCATTTAGTATTGTAATGGGCTATTATAATTTTAAAACAGTTCTTATGAGCAGCACCCTTTCTTGAGGAAGGCAGATCTGACTGCCGTATTTCATGTCTTAGTTACCTCCTGATTAGACGGTAATGCACTCTATGTGGGGCTGCCCTTGAGAAGTGTTTGGGAGTTGCAGCTACTGCAAAATGCAGCAGCCAGACTGGTGTCGGATGTGTATTTTTGCCACCCTATTCCACTGGTCCTGCAAGAATTTCATTAGCTTCCAAATCGTTTCTAAGCTCAGAAGGTGCTGGTGTCAACCTATTGCTGTTTTCTGTCAGTGCCAGCTCTTTTAGAGATAACTATGATGCCACTGCCATTTTCTCTTAGCGATCCTTTGCCATTATCACCCTCAATGGGAAGTGTGGTTCTGCTTTTGACTGATGAGATAGGATTGTTGTTGTTGTGTGCTTTCAAGTCGTTTCAGACTTAGATTGACCCTGAGCGAGGGCCGGGTAAATGACCTTGGAGGGCTGTATCCAACCCCGAACCTTAGTTTGGGGACCCTTGCTATAGAAGGTAGTGCCAAGGCAGGTTTAGGAGGTGATACATGGTATGGATTTTCTTGCTCTTTAGGGTGCAACTCTGCAACCTTAACATGAACTTCAAATTTAGATTTGTATATATTTTGAAGTGGGTTGTACAGTCCTTCAGCTGTTGCTGCTTCAGCTTCCAGCGTTCCTTACTTTTGGCTATATTTGGTTAGGGCATACAATAATAAAACTAATAATAATAAAACCTTATTTATATTCTGCTCTATCTCCCTGAAGGGACTCAGAGCTGATTAAAAACAATTCAAAACATGTTAAGTCCTGCACAGGCCTTGCTTTAGAGAATAAAAGATAGAAGCTTACCTTTTTTTTGTTTACTCATGAGGAAGTCAAGGTACAAGAAGAGCTATCAGTTTGCTTATGTTATGTTTAGTTCCTACGGCAGAAGTTTAAGATATGATCCAAATGTCTTTGCCTTGGGGGGATATATTTATATAAAGTTTTGCTTTTAACCAAAGGTGGTTTCTGTATGAAGAATGCTGTTCGCTTTTTTTAAAAAGGAAGACATAAAAGAAAATAATAATAATAACTTTATTTTTATATCCTGCCTCTATCTCCCTGAAGGGACTCAGGGTGGCTTACTTGGGGATCAAGCCCAGTATAAACAAAGATTACAAATAACACAATTAAAAACATATAACAGTAAAATATATTAAAACAGTCAAACTAATGAAATGTAAAACATCCTAAAACATAAAACCAGACATCAAACAACCAGTAGTTGAAAAGTGGGCATGTGCAGGTTTGAGACTAATAGGGCATGACAAGGGCTTGTGCAAATACAAAACTGTAGGGCCGGGCTGGGATTCAAGTGTTGGTGATCCAACCAAAGGCTAGGCAGATTTAAACTAAACTTGGCACACAGAACTCCAGTGACCAACAGAAAATACTGGAAGGGTTTGGCATTGACCTTGAGTTTTGGAGTTGTAGTTCACCTATATACAGAGAGCAATGTGGACTCAAACAATGATGCCCAAATGTGAACTCTGGTGGAGTTTGGGGAAAGTAGATCTTGACATTTGGGAGTTGTAGTTGCTGGGATTTTGGAACATCCAAGTCTTTTTGGAACGTGGACAGGGTGTGGGCTAATTTAATCTCCCTGGGGAGAGAGTTCCAGAGTCAGGGTGCCACCATTGAGAAGACCCCCTCTCTCTCTCGTCTCCACCAACCATGCTTGTGACCGAGGTGAGAGAGAGAGAAGGGCCTCCCCGGCAAATCTTAGCACTCGTAATGGTTCAAAGAGGGAGATACGGTTGCAAAAATGAATGGTGGGCAGAGCCATAATAAGAAACAATGAAGCAGTGAAGAGGAACATAACCACATAGACTTGTACAAAATAGACCAACTTCTCCCAGTCAGATCTACCTGAAGCTCTAAGAAATTATGGTCACTCCCAAGGTAAAAAAGTAGGTAGTGTTACCATTTAAGGCTGTTTCTTAAACAGACAGGCATTCTAAAGATATTAGTCATAAACCGGTTTATAACTGGAATCTGGCAGCAAAGTTTGAATTCCATCAAAAGTTCAAAAATGTTTAGGGGAATCTAGATTAAATCAGCTTACTAGTTTTGAAGTTGTTTTTGTAGCTCGTTAGAGTCAATGCTGAATCTAAAATTGAATTGAATTGTTGAATCTCAAAGAAAAAGAGAGCTCTCCAAGATTACCATCCATTTAATGATAATTTGTTATATATGTTTTCTTAAAGTTACCATGTACGAAGCAAAAGAAAGACAGAAGTTTATCAGTGATGCTCAGTACTTGAGAGAGATGCAGCACAAGATGGATTCAGAGTATCAGGTATGAAGGTTCTTTTAATGTTGGCTTTTGCACTCAACATTGATCAGTTGATGTGGGGCAAGGCAAGATTAGTTTTATTAGGGACATATTTACTTGAAGCCAGGCTCCACATAATACCTCATTTCAAACAAATGTGTTTTTAAGGCTTGCCTGAGAAAACAAGAGCTGACTAAAGAGCAATCTCAGAAGAAGCGAGACCAACACCCCAGACAAGAACTGAGGCAGACAACAAATTCTTCCATCTCTACTGTTCGTAGTTATGAAAGGCCATGGATTTCAAGACTTCCCATTAATAGACAGGTAACAATTGGTAACATTTAGGGGGGGGGGGAGTCAAATAGACGAGTATACTGATAATAGTCCCTTGCTATCATTGTGTGCCTTCAAGTCATTTACAACATGGTGACCCTATCACAAGGTTTTCCTGGCAAGATTTGTATAGAGGAAATTTGCCTTTGTCTTCCTCTGAGGCTAAGTCATTCAGTAGGTTTCCATAGCTGTGCTCTGATATCTATAATTATAGCCAAGCACTCAAACCACGATACCTCACCAGTCCTCAATCCCTTGCTACTCCCTGAAAATTCAAGTAGAAAGGGAAAAATTTAAATACATTGGTATCACATGTATTTTGAAGTGTGCAATGTCTGACAAACACTTTATTTTAGCTTAACAAGTTCTCATTGTTCATTAATGTTTGTATTTTCAGTGAAAGTAAAGTAAGGGATGCAGACAAGCGCAAATAGATTCCTCTCAAATGCCTACTCGGGCCCTTTTTTGTGATTTTCACTAGTGTTGGGCCAATGTAACTCTTCCAAGACTTGTCTCATAAAGCATAGCCCATTTACCTGGGTAGAAACCCAATCAAAAGAGAACCTGGCCTTCTTTATTGGAATTGCTATTCATGTGTATAAAAGAGTGTGAAGAGAAGACACAATCTCATGAATAACCTTTACAATGACATGTAATGCTGCTTATTTTTGTTTAGGAGACTTTTAATCTTCATTCATTCATCAGCCTGGGAAAGGAAAGGGGTTGTACAAATATATGATGTTCCTTTTGTTATTTATATCTGTTCTTAAGTAAATTTAATTGTCTGAGAATTATACTTAATGACCCCAGATCTCTTCTTCAGACATTCTTCTTTTGTAAGAGAGAACTGTAGACAATAAAATTGAAACTATGTACAGGCTAATTACGAATTACAAGAACACAGATGGAAGCAAACTGATGCTGTATTCACAGCAACATAAATCTAATTTCTCAAAATCCAGACATTTGTTGTGAAATTGTCTCCTCTTTACAAACTTTCTAATACGTGCCCACTTACAAAACAAATTGCTTCATCCTGCCAAACTTCCTTAGTTTTCCAAGACTGAAAAAAAAAATCAGCTGTGTTGGATATAGACCTTAACCAACTGAATCTCCGTGTGTCAAATCTGAAACAACTTTGAGGAAGATTGAACTGTTCTGCAACTGGTTTTTTTGTGTATTCCATTCATTTCAAATGTCTGGAACAAGTGAAAGTACTTGTTATATTGTGGGTGATGTGATTAGGTTCTGTGATGACATTTCTGGAGAAGATGTGTGGGTAGAGTTGGCTTGTGGCAAGTTCTTCTACCAATTTCCCCATCCTTCTTGTTGTTTATTATTGTTAACCTTATTTTATACCCCGCCTTTCCGTCATGGAGATTCAAGGTGACTAACAAACCTCACAATCTAATGACAATTTAAAACACAGCAAGTACTTTTTTTAAAAAAAAAATCCAGATATTAGTGTGTGGATATAAAATTAAAATACAATAGAAATACAATAAATAAAATTATAATTCCATTTAAAACTCACCCCACTAAAATCCCTCCCACAAACTCCCCAGCAGTGTGCCTCTTATCCTCCCTGAAATGCTTGCTGGCAAAGCTATGTCTTTACCAGCTTGCAGAAGGCATGCAGGGATGCGGCCAGCCTGATCTTTCTTGGGAAGGAGTTCCAAAGTCTGGGAGCAGCCACCGAAAAGGCCCTCTCTCTTGGTCCCATCAAACACACTAAAACTGGGTGGTGGGACAGAGAGAAGGCCCTTCCCAGAAGATTGTAGATATCTGACAGGATTGTAGAGAGAGATACGATCCTTCAGATAACCTGGACTTTAGCCATATAAGGTTTTATAGGTTAAAACCATCATTTTGAATTGTGTCTGGAAATGGGATAACAACCAGTGGAACTTTTGCAATAGAGGAATTGTGTGCTCTCTGTAGCTATCCCCAGTTAACAGTCTGGCTGCTACAACTGAAGTTTCTGAGCACTTTTCAAAGGCAGCCCCATGTAGAGACCATTACAGTAGTTCAACTGGGATGTAACATGGCACGTACTACAATGGCCAGACCTGACTTCTCCAGGAACAGGCACTAGCTTTAACTGTGCAAAAGCATTTCTAGTCACTATTGATACTTGGTCCTTCATAAAATGTAGAGTGTTGAATACACAAAAAACAAGATTCCTGTAGGAGGGTTACAAAGCTTCTTTCCAAAATTCCCTGAAATGTATAACTTAATAAAACATGTTCTTGTGGGTTTTTTTCGGGCTATAGAGCCATGTTCTAGAGGCATTTCTCCTGACGTTTTGCCTGCATCTATGGCAAGCATCCTCAGAGGTAGTGACTACCTCTGAGGATGCTTGCCATAGATGCAGGCGAAACGTCAGGAGAAATGCCTCTAGAACATGGCTCTATAGCCCGAAAAAACTCACAAGAACCTAGTGATTCCAGCCATGAAAGCCTTCGACAATATAATAAAACATTATGTGGAATGATAATACTATAATGAAATAGTTATTTATGAAGTACTTGCCATTGCTACACATGTACATTTTGCTGGTGATAAGTCGTGACAACTATGATGACATATTTCACTAAGCCATTTATGATACCCATAGTTTTGTCATGGCTCAAACAAATATCTGAATGCCTTCTCTTCTTATGTATGCTGAAATTACACTGTCAAGAGTTTGACTACTGTGAAGTCACTTTAGAAGTAGGCAAATTCTCCAAACATTTTGTTAAATTGTGGTTATGCCTGATAGAAGACGACAACTATGGAACATAAACAACATGAGTAATAATCCAGGGACAGTGCCACCTAGATAATTACTGAACTTTGAAAAACAGAGATAATTTTTGTACAAACAGATATGTGGGAGAGAACCCTGCTTTTGTGGAGAATATTTCTTCAGATTTTCCTGGATTTCTGTCAGAAGGAAAAAGATTGTTTAACTCAATATGAAAGAATAGGCTCCTTAAATGGAATTTTCATGAAGAATGATGGTTTGCCCATCCCTTCTAGCTGTACTCCTGATAAAAACCTCCTCTATTCTGGGAGTGTTGTTAGCTTTATGGGGGGAAACTCTGTGTCAGTGGTAGCTTTTTTCTAATGCTAACTAACGTGCAGGAGGGATTTTCATTGGGGCTGTGTCCCGGACAGGAAAGATTAAACCTGCCAATCTGGCACACTGTAGTACCAACAAAATCAGAAAAATAACACAAAATACAAAATCCACAAAAGAGTGAAACCTTTATTGGCCAATCAAAATGAGCAAAACACATCATGCAAGCTTTTGAAGTTCCACTTAATTTTTTTCATCAGGCAAAAATGTTAAAATCATACAAAGAAGAAAATAAAAGTGACAATGTTTCAGTCATATGCCTATATTTTACTGTCTTTCTCAGGCTCCACATGGTCAAGAGCAGTGGTTCTCAACCTGGGGTCCCCAGATGTTTTTGGCCTTCAACTCCCAGAAATCCTAACAGCTGGTAAACTGGTGTGATTTCTGGAAGTTATAGGCCAAAAACATCTGGGGACCCCAGGTTGAGAACCCCTGGTCAAGAGAGAAGTGGCTTTTACCAGAACTGAGACAAACAGATACAAAATGTAGGATTGTGACGCCAACATAATCACTTTTTGTTCTTTTTCTATCTTTATAAATGTTTGGGGAGAAGATGTCATGAATATTTGAACATCAACGCTTGGCAGAGAGTTAAAACTTATAGAATTACAGGTGATCTTATGTTCTGTAACTGGGACCTCCACATTTGAACATTCACTTCTCCTTTTAAGTGATAAAAAATGAGTAGATCTTACTAGTGGATGCAACATACAAAAAGCAAGCACAAGATTGACACCCCTTGGGGATAAACCAAGGAAGGTTGATGACTAAAGAGGCAAAGTTTTCATGCTAACGTAATTTGAAAGAATCTTAAAGAGAGGGTGTTTTATGCACATGCATGCAATCAATCTGTTTCTGTTCCACACCACTTTTGTACATGGTTATCCATAAATCTCTTCCCTCTTACTCTGTCTTGTTTCCATTTGAAAGGAATTCACACGAACATTTGAATTTAAATACATATTTTAACTAATCTTCTCTTAAAATACATTTTTGAGCTGAGAACTGTCAAAACATTCAGGCAGTGTGAAAAAGATGGGCAATGAAGTTTAGATCTAGGAGTTTAGTTTAGGCATCATTAATGGAGAACACTTTTCCTTTACTAGAGAGTACGGAAAACAGCCAGTAATCCAGGTCTAAATAGAAGCATTTCTATGGCAAAGTTACCTTTTTATGTTGGTACCTTACCAGATCTCTTCTGATGAAGCTTCTGGATATGAGCCAAAATCCTCTATGAAGTCCTTTGGGAACAAATCTGAAGCTAAATTTCCTGCCATTGACAAAACATCAGTTAAGCAGAAGCAAAAAGCAAGCACATCTTCCAAAAAACCAGAAAAAAATGGATCTTGCCCCAAAAAAGATACTCTAGGTAAGTGCAGAAAGTTTTAAGCTATTCAGTGGGAAAAACATGGTTAACAGATGGAAACTGGTAATCTTTGCAAGTTTAGAGGCCATAGGTGGATTATTGATATTTTCAGGGAAAAGTTCCTAGGTATAATAATGGAACTAGAGTTTAGGAAGCAAAATGCAGTTCATTGACCAGGAACATGGGGGTAGGCGTCATTATCTTATTCCAGTAATAGGCTGGAGTAGTTGCAATAGAAAACAAAAGACAGTATAGAGGAAAAGGGTTGGCTGGAAAATGTTGTTTCTGTGCTGTGTACAGTGGGCTCTGGAGGCACTGTACACTGCATAACAAACAATGGTTTTCAGTGAAATGTTTTTTGCTATGCAGTATAATAATAATAATAATAATAATAATAATAATAATAATAATAATAATCTTTATTTATAACTCACCACCATCTCCCCAAAGGGAACTCGGGGCGGCTAACATGAGGCCAGGGCCAAAATAATACAACATAATAAACACACCATAACAAAATACATCATAGCAAAATATAAAATAACAAATCAAATTGTGCAAAGGCCCTCCCGGCCACCGCCAACACCTGTGCATCAAGCGCAGGTGTCAGCGCTGAGTCCAGGAGGACCCCCAAAATGCAGACCTGCACCTTCAGGGGGAGTGCAATCTCATCCAGCACAGGTTGCCACCCAATACCCCGCTCAGGCGTACGACTGACCTGGAGGACCTCTGTCTTGTCAGGATTACAACATTATAGTATACAGCGTTGTGCTAACAGAACCTGCAGTTAGGATGATTGTTGTATATGGAACATCCCCAGATACCATAGTCATTAAGATAGTATTTCACTTGAATACTGGCTGCTTGGAATTTACCCTGTTCTAATTGTCTTAGAGAGTACCATTTGATAAGATGCCTTAGCAGGTTCTTGCTAACCAACCCCATGATGAGTATTTTAATACAGTTTTATGTCAGGATTTAGTAGTGTTATAGCTTTGTCTGTCCTGAGGAATGGCCCTAGACAGGAGAAAGATGCACGGTGGGATGTGTTGTCTGACCCCATTAATTTACCTGGATCATTCAGCAAGTTTTGATAACATTTACCATTGTATTCTTATAGCTTAGAACACTATAATTCAATGTTTTCGTTCTGATCTGGATGTCTACTTTCAGAAGATGATATTGCTTGAATTCTCTCTTTGTCCCAAAGCCGTTATGCTATGGTGTTGAAAGGACTCCCTTTCATCACACCTGTAGTTTGACATATACACGAAATTGCAAAGTTGTTTAGGGATTTGAAGTAATGTATCATGAGTCAGCAGATGAGCCTCAGCTCATCAAATGCTGATGAAACTAGAAGTATTGAATTTCTGTTTTTGTAATGGGCTGGAAGAAATCCAGGAAACTGAAACTCAGTTCCACTAAAGATGCTTTAGGTTGTTGATTTGTCTGGCTCTAGGACAGTGGTTCTCAACCTGTGGGGCCCCAGGTGTTTTGGCCTACAGCTCCCAAAAATCCCAGCCATTTTACCAATTGTTAGGATTTCTGGGAGTTGAAGGCCAAAACATCTAGGGACCCACAGGTTGAGAACCACGGCTCTTGGAAGTGGTGGTCAGCCTGTTGTAGGTGAAATTGTCTCATTCTGAAGTATTGGTTGCTCTCTGAAGTTTCTGCTAGATACAGATTTCTTTGAAGATTGAAGTGGTCACTGTAGAGTGAAGTGAAGGGAGCAGTTCAAACCCCTCCTCAACAAAGATTGAGCACTTTTCCATACCTCAACTGTATCTTGCTTGATGCACCATAAAGTATTACATTTACAGCTCTTTTGAAAATCAATCAGGGATCATATCTGGTTCAAAATATTTAAGTATGCTTGCAAGTTGAACCATAAACAGAGAAAACACCAATGCACATGGACAAATCAAATGCTCAGTGCTGACCTTTATGTATTTATTTAAAATTACCGTATATACCCGAGTATAAGCCGACCCAAATATAAGCCGAGGCACCTAATTTTACCACAAAAAACTGGAGAAACGATTGACTCGAGTATAAGCCGAGGGTGGGAAATGCAGCAGCTACTGGTAAATTCCAAAATAAAAATAGATACCAATAAAATTGCATTAATTGAGGCATCGGTAGGTTAAATGTTTTTGAATAAAACTGTAAGTTAAGATAAGACTGTCCTCTGATTAAAGCATTATTCTAACCTTCTTCAGTGTAAATGTGTTTACATATCCTTCTAATAATAATAGAGTAAAATAATAAATATAATAATAACAATAATAAAGAATAAAATAATTAATGTAATAATAATAATAATAATAATAATAATAATAGAGTAAAATAATAAAAAACCTTGACTCGAGTATAAGCCGAGGGAGACTTTTTCAGCTTAAAAAAAGGACTGAAAAACTAGGCTTATACTTGAGTATATATTAACTAGGTTTCTAAATCTGAAGAAAGGCCCCCATCTAGTTTTCAAAAGAAGTAGTTATGGTAGCAATTGTCGCACTTTGGGGAGAGAATTTTAGAGTTGAGACACAGCACCTGCAGACCATATTTAATTGTGATACCAGCCAGAATTCTGTGGCACCTGCTCTGTTCCCCACACTAACTGCTTTGTCCCAAAATGATATTCCCTCTTTATGAGTGGGTAATGAGGAAACTTGACCAAGCATCTTCAGAACAAATGATTATTTCAGGGATGGGAAATGTATGACCAAGTGAGCTGCACTGTTGTGTCTCTTCAGAACAAATGATTATTTCAGGGATGGGAAATGTATGACCAAGTGAGCTGCACTGTTGCATCCTTCCCCTCAACTCAAAACATTCAAGTGAATAGTACTTTAAAAAGGCACAACTGAATCATGGATTATATTGAAAATTAGCACCTAATCCCTTCCAAAATATCTGGGTATGCTTCCAAAAAGCCAGAACTCACAACTAGAAGTTACCAAAAGTTCTATTTGTAACTTCTGATTGGTTTTCTATTTTAAAAATAGCTATTGGAGCTGATTGGCTCCCATCTCAAATATTTGCATAGTTGCGTGCTTTTTGCTTGCAAAGAATGGAATGAGGAGCTGAGATGTGAGTATGTTTTCCAAATGCACAAAAACACTGAGGAATTTTACTGTGCATCACAGTATAACCAACGAACAATACATCTTGGATCCAGCATAGAGAAGTTTATTGAGTTTGAGTCTCCTGACTATCCGACTCAGAAATCTCCTGCTGACATGGCAACAATTATAAGAGTATCATTCCAAAAATCAACATTTGAGGAAGGGGGAAAGAAAAGATTCACATTATCATTTACCTAACTAATGTAAGGTCTCATTGAATTTAGAGTGGTGTTGGTTACCTCTAATAGCCCTTACATTTTTAGTTAAATTTATCTATTAGAATTACGCCCCAGACACTATTTAACCACCAAGAAAGTGACAGTGCATTTAAGCCTTTTAATTATATGTAATATCTAAATGTGGTGCCACCTGATTTTTGTAAGAATGAAATTCACAAAGCACTGAGAGAGGAAGTAGTCTCAACTCTGGTGAACGAGCAATGTGCTGTATGTGGGGCAGCCTTTGAAGATGACCCGGAAGTTGCAATTGATACAAAGGTTGGCGGCCAGTTTGCTAACTGGAGCGAATTACAGGGAGCTGACAACCCCCCTGTTAAAACAGCTCCACGGGCTTCCGATAATGCCGATAATCCGGTCCCAATTGAAGGTGCAGGTTATTACCTACAAAGCCCTAAATGGTTTGGGTCCAGCCTGTCTTTGTGATTCCCCTATGAACCTGTGCGAGCTTTAAGGTCTACTGTAGAGGACCTTCTCTCACTCCCACTTTTGTCAGAAGCACAGTTGGTGGGGACGAGGGAGAGGGCCTTCTCGATGGTGGTCTCCCGGTTTTGGACCTTTCTCCCCAGGGAGATTAGATTAGCGCCCACCCTGTCTACTTTCCATAAAGACCTAAAAACATGCATGTTCCAATGTGCCTTTGATTAATCAGGTCACTAGATGAATTGGCCCTTCTAGCCATAACTTAATATCTGGCTCTTGCACTTTACTATTGTCCTTGCCACACTCTTGTTACATCCCAAATAGATTACTGCAACGCACTCTACGTGGGGTTGCCTTTGAAGACTGTTCGGAAACTTCAATTAGTCCAGCGGGCGGCAGCCAGATTACTCACCGGAGCGTCATACAGGGAGCATACCACCCCTCTGTTATGTCAGCTCCACTGGCTGCCGATCCAGTTCCGAGCACAATTCAAAGTGCTGGTTTTGACCTACAAAACCCTATACGGTTCCGGCCCAGCGTATCTGTCCGAACGCATCTCCTTCTACGCCCCGCCTCGGAGTTTAAGATCTTCTGGGGAGGCCCTGCTCTCGGCCCCACCTCTATCACAAGTGAGGTTGGTGGGGACAAGGAGCAGGGCCTTCTCGGTGGTGGCCCCTCGCCTGTGGAATTTGCTCCCCGGGGAAATTAGGTCATCAACATCCCTCCTCTCATTTAGAAGGAAATTAAAAACATGGATTTGGGACCAGGCCTTTGGGTAATCTGGCAGACAGACAAAGGACTAGTGACGACAACTGATGGACTGACAGTGTGGAATTGAATTTATGAACTCTGAGTTGGCAAACGTTGAGCATTAGATTGGTTTTATAGATTTTGATGTGTGATGTATAATGGATTGTTTTAATTGTTTTAATTACTGTTTACATATGTTATTTTTACCTTGTTGTTGTGCCGGCATTGAATTGTGCCTTTTGTAAGCCGCCCTGAGTCCCCCCTCGCAGGTTGAGAAGGGCGGGGTAGAAGTGCAATAAATAAATAAATAAATAAATAGCCCCTGTAGTTGTATTGCACTAATTGACTTGGCCCTTCTAGCCCTAACTTATCATCTGGCTCTTGCACTTTTCTATCAGCCCTGTCCTTGCAGTTGTATTGAACAAGGCTTTGCCTCACCCCTTAGTTCTGAAATGTCCACTATGCTTGACTACTGGTTTTGTATGATGGTTTATGTTTTTATGATGTTTTGTATATGTATTTTTATTGTTTTATATTTTAACTCTGTTTGACAGGGCTTGGTCCCCATGTAAGCGACCCTGATTCCCTTTGGGGAGATGGTGGCAGGATACAAAAATATTAATATTAATAATAATAATAATAATAATAATAAGAGAAATTGTTTGTTATGTGCTATTATGGATTTCCTCAAATACCACATTTTGAATAAACATTACTAATTGTAGTGTTAATTTTTTATGTTAGGTGTTTTGTGAATCTTGTCAGTGAAAAATTGGGGACAATGAGTACACTTTTGTTCTCTCTATTGTTTTTTCTTTAAATGAAAGTGTTTGTAAAGGTTGCTTTGAACCTTTTAACTAGATAGGTTTCAGGTAGAAATGGCGAACATAGAAGAGCTTCTACTTTATTCTTGGAGGACATAAGATTAAGTTTCTTGCTAATAAAGGGTTTATCAGAAATCAGCAAAAATTATTTGCATGTTCCAAACTATTATAAACCAACATCCTTCAAACTATCTTAATTTTCCGCCATTTGCATGTTGCTTCTCTTCCCATTCCCTAAAAAAAAATGGTGCTTGTTTCCACCATTATTGATTATTGATCCACCCAGCCCTAGATTTTAGCCTAGTAGAATGCAACAGAATCATTCACCTGATATTGCATTGCTCATATTCTTTTAAAGTGAGTTGTGTGCCCTGCCGGAATGATTGCCAAGATGCATCACATCAAGTACATACATATACAATGTGTTCTGCACCTAAGCCATCCTGTTTAGCAATTGGGACATTTATTTTTTATTTTTATTGGATCTCAGTATCTCCTTCAAATTGCTGGGAGTAGGGAATGTGTTATATATACCTTTCCCCAACTCTTGTCTGACATATTGGGTATTAAGCTAGAAGCCTCTAAATTTTGACTGATAAAAGTAAATACAGAGAAAGGCAGATAGAGAAAAGTAATTCAGTTAAAATTCAGACAGACTGTATTCCTCAGTGAGTTTTTCTAAGCTGTGCACAAGAAAGCATAATGCCAAATATGATTTCTCTTGTTTAAAATGGCTTTGATGTTATAAATATTTAATTTATTTAAAATATTTATATCATTTCTTTCCATTTAAGAATGCTCAGGGAAGCTTATAACTAAGTCAAACAGTAAGAACATTTCAAAAACAATGAAAAATTTAAAAGCAAGAGTGTAGCCCCTAAGAATAAGGCAATTCATTCTCCAGAGAACAACAACAATAGCTTTATTCTCAGTGGGAGCAAAACCTGTTAGGAAAAAAAAAAATCCAAGCTGAAGAAGACCACCAGGGAGGGGAAAGCTGAACCTGCTGAGGTCCATAGCTCTGCAACAGAGAAGACTGCCTCCCCGGGGCAATTGTTTCTCAGCCACTAGTGAGATACTGGAATTGTTAATCAGTGTGTGGGTTTTTGTAGGTCATGGGTAGGATTTAGGCAGCCTTTCAGATATTGTTGAACTGTAATACCTACTAATACTTATCATTGGTTGTCCTAGCTAGAGCTCCTGACACTTACAGTTCAACAACATCTGGAAGGCTAAAAATTTCCCATTCCTGTTGAGGGAGGAAACATTCCTCTAAGTCCTGAGGCTATATCAGGAATTTAAGGGTGATAAAAACCACTTTGAACTGAGCATTAAAAAACCAGATGCTAGTGCAGATGTTGTAATAATGAAACTGCATGCATACTGCCAAGAACACATTTGGGTCAGAATATTTGGATCTAATTCTTGATCAACTGAAGTTCTTGAACAGTCTTGAAAGCCAACTCCACAACAGTTGTTGTTCTTGTTAAATGTCCTCAAGTTGACTTCAAATTGTGGTGATCCTATGAATGAGAGATTTCCAATCATTTGCATACCTACAATTGTATAACTACAATTGTGGTTATACTGATTGATTTTCCTTGACATTGTATTGATATGATTTGGTCAGACTCCTTTGATTGCTTTTACGCCTCTCTGCTCGGTGTATATGCTACCTCCTTTTTTCTTAGATTTTCAATTCCTGAGTAAAATCCCATGTAATTATTTGATTCATTCCTGTCCACTTTAGCTCACTTACCCCAAATATTGCAATGTTGATATGTTCCATTTCTTGTTTTACTATGTCTAACTACCCCGGATGCATGCTCCTTACATTCCATGTTCTTCTAATATATGTTGTGCAGCTTTGAAATTGGCTTTCATTTTTGAAAAGCATCAGTAGCTAAATGTCTTTTTGGCTTGAGTCCAGTTTTGTCATTAGCTACAACACTACTCATAGTTGTCCTCTGTTCTACTCCAGCAGCTCACTAAGTGCCATTTGACCTGGGAGTGTTATCTTCTGGCACATTGTTTCATTTCTTCTCATTATGGGTTTATTTAAAAGGAGGTTTAGCATATTTATTTATTTACAGCATTTCTACCCCACTCTTCTCACCCCCGCAGGGGGATTCAGAGCGGCTAACAATGGCAACGATTCGATACCGCAATAATTACAATTATAAAAGCAAAATAAAATCATACAATATAATACGTTAAAACAACATTAGTTATCCAATCATGAAGGCATTTCCATTATAACAATCATCTGGTCAAATTCACTGTTCAGGTGCCGTTATATCCATTAGCCAAAAGCCTGGTTCCACAACCATGTCTTCAGTTTTCTTCTGAAAGAAAGGAGGGAGGATGCCTATCTAAGTTTGCTGGGGAGCAAATTCCACAGGCAGGGGGTCACCACCGAGAAGGCCCTGTCCCTCGTCCCCACCAGTCGCGTTTGCGAAGCTGGTGGGACCGAGAGCAGGGCCTCCCCGGCAGATCTTAGACCACAAGGTGGAACGTAGATACGTTCGGACAAGTAAGCTGGGCCGGAGTCGTATAGGGCTTTATAGGCCAAGACCAGCACTTTGACTTGTGCTCGGAAATGGACCAACAGCCAGTGGAGTTGACGTAACAGGGTCCCTGTACGATGCTCCGGTGAGCAATCTGGCTGCCGCCAGTTGGACTAGTTGAAGTTTCCGAACAGTCTTCAAAGGCAACCCCACGTAGAGTGCATTTCAGTAATCTATTTGGGATGTAACAGAGCGTGGACCACCATGGCCACTTCAGACTTCCCAAGATATGGGCGCAGCTGGCGCACAAGCTTTAACTGTGCAAAGGCTCTCCTGGCCACTGCTGAGACCTGGGGTTCCAGGCTCAGCGATGAGTCCAGGATCACTCCCAAGCTGCGAACCAGTGTCTCCCTCATACATATTCACTCACTACTATTGCTGGCCAGTAGCTGTCTCAGCACATGTTGGCTCTTCAGCAAAAACCTTCCTGACATGGGAGACCCTAATAGTCAAACCTCACATCTTGCTGGAGCATGCAATCATATCACTGCAGGAAGTGCCATTGGGAGTCACAAGAATACATTACAATAATCGTATTCAAGTCTTATTCAAAGTAAAGTGTGGATTCCCATGGTCATGGTAGAAACACAGGAAAATGCCCTTTTAGTATCTGTCCCAGTCTCCCATCAAATAGAGGCTAAGCTGGCTTCCTCCATGGTGACCTTTCAGCAGCAGTTGAAGAATTTTGTACTGCAAGAAGGCTTTGGGGAGGGAAAGGGCCTTTAATAATGTTTGTTATTCCTAATGGACATATTCTATTTCTACTTATAGCTTAATAGATTTTATCTTTTTTATTATTTACTAGTGTAAGCTTTCATTTGTACCTGTTTAAATGTTAAATTCCAGGGCTGACAAATACACAAACGAATTAATTAGTTGATTGATGTTTAACAGCTATTCAGAAGCCAATTTTATCAAGAAGACGAATGAGCCAGAGAAGTTTACTGGAAAGCCCAGACTCTGAAAATATGAGAAAAGTGGAAGTAAGGGAGAGGAAAACACCAGTACTTCAGGCAATAACAAAACTTAACCGAGGGTCTGGTAAGAAACTCTTATTTTCCACATTATAATTCTTTTTTAGAGAGCCTCCGAGGAACAAGGCTACTTGAATCAGGAGACCTGCAAACGCTAGCACATGAATCTGGAACGATGCTTGGTCTGAAGCTGCATTCACAACAGTCATATTTAAGGCCAAGAAATCTATTGCGAGACACGCCTGAAGATTTTGTTTGGATTTCCTTCAATCTGGCTGACCTGCGTAAACATTGGGCTTCTCCCCGACTCTGCCAAATCTGCCCCCGCCTATCCTCATTAGGCAGGCCAGGTGCCTGATTCTCTGGAGAACTAAAACTGGGAGGAAAAGGGAGTAAACCATCTCCGCTTGGCTCGGAATGTATGTTCTCATGGGAATCTTGACTTTCGCTTTCCAAGGCTGTAGGATTTTCACTACTCAACCCATCATCATCTAAATTGGCCTCAGAATTCACATGGGCATCAGGAAATACATGGGCATCAGGAAATACAATCAGAGAGTCAGGTTCAAGTTCACACACAGGCTGAACCCCAACAAGTATTTTGTTTCTCATTAAATGTGACCTTTCCTTCCATAAGCTGAATTATAGGAGAGAACATGCAGGTGCACTTGCTATTGAGTTCACTCTATTGCCAGCATGTCAACATTTCATTTATACCAAAATACTTTTGGATAATAATAATGTTGTTCTTTCTCGCATACATAATCATTGTGAAATAGGCAGTTACAACACACATAATAGCTGATAAGAATTAATGCTTTACCATTTAGTGAATTTTATTTCCATTTTCAGTTTTTGGAGACTGTTTACCTCCTATTCTGAGCCAATGTGTATATCTGGCTATACAAAGAAACAATAACTTGCAGCATCACTGTGATAGTATGAGAATCTAAAAATAATGTGGAAAAAGCCTATACTGTAGCCAATCCCTAGGCCAGCATTAATACAGTGTTAAAAATTCGATTTTTATGGAGAATGGTTATAGCATGGCTTTTTCCACCGAGGTTCATAGGTGCTCCCTTTGCCTTGGTAATATGTATTGCTGAAGCACCAGTGTAACTTATCCAACATATGTAACAAACCTAAAACTAATAACAGACAGATTCTCTGTGATCTATTGTGGAAACATAAAAACCTTATTTTTGTGTCTCTTCATGTTTGTTGGTTTGAATTAATACGTGTCTTCTAAATTATCTTTTTATTACTCTTTGAACTGCTCTCGACCTCAATTTCAATTTCATCCTCAATGTTTAGTGGACAGTAATGAGAAATTATTAATGATATAAATGCTAGCCAGTTCCGGTATGGTTGTTTGGAGATGGTTTTTAACAATTGATTTTAAAGTGATACAACTGTTTTTAATGTTTGTGTATATTTATAGTTTGTTTTATGTTCCGGCATTGAATTTTTGCCATATATATGTTGTGCTCCGTCCTGAGTCCCCTTCGGGGTGAAAAGGACGGAATATAAACGCTTTATATTCCGTCCCACCTCGGAGTTTAAGATCTTCTGGGGAGGCCCTGCTCTCGGCCCCACCTTTATCACAAGTGAGACTGGTGGGGACGAGGGACAGGGCCTTCTCGGTGGTGGCCCCTCGCCTGTGGAATGCACTCCCCGGGGAAATTAGGTCATCAACATCCCTCCTCTCTTTCAGAAGGAAGTTAAAAACCTGGATATGGGACCAGGCCTTTGGGTAAGCTGGCAGATGGATAAAAGACAATGATGACCAGAGTAGGAAAGGACAGTGACAATGCTGGATGGATTATGGATTTATGAATTGGCAAACGTTGACCACAAGATTATTTTATTGCTGCTATTGTATTAATTTCATTGTTTTAACTAGTTATAACTGTTGTCGTTATATTGTATTTTGTTATTGTATTAAGTGAACTGTTGGGCATCAAATTGTGCCTTTTGTAAGCCGCCCTGAGTTCCCCCTAGGGGGTTGAGAAGGGCGGGGTAGAAGCACTCCAAATAAATAAATAAATAAAATAGACGACTTCTTAGACTAAATTTGTTGGGGAAAATCAAATGGAAGGTGTTTTCTCTACTCTCATTTATTAGAGGTGTGATTGACCAACAGGCCAACTAGTCTAATTTCATCGCCTAAGCCTACAGATCTGGATAGCAGTATGGCCAAAGTTGACGAACCAAGTTCAAACATCAGTGTATATTGACTTACAACTAGGAGCCAGAATAATAATAATAATAATGATCATCATCATCATCTTTATTTAATACCCCGCTACCATCTCCCCAATGGGGACTCGGGGCAGCTTACATGAGGCCAAGCCCAATAGCATATTACAATAAAGTAAAACCAAAACACAATAACAAGACAGTAAAATACATACAACATATGAGTACAAAAACAATAAAGCAAAATCATACACGATAAAATAACATAACATAACAATGAGTGGCCGCATGTGCAAGATAAAACTAAGATACTAAAAATACTAAAATCAGGATGAGATAGGGATGGAGCAGATAGTTTGTGGGGGAGAAACTCATAAGGAATGGGGTCATAAATATAGACCTTCATACAGGTGGGGAAATATACTTTGGGGACAAAAACCGTTGAGGGGGAGCAACTATGTATGAAAATATGGCTACTCTCCAAAAGCGCATCGGAAAAGCCAGGTTTTGAGATCCCTTTTGAAAATTTCTAAGGTTGGGGCCCAATGCCCAATTAGTTATGAACAAAGGAAATATATTGACTGTGGAATAGTTCTTGTCTTCATGAGGAAGTCACCAATACTTAATAAGTGCTTAGAAAATAAGCTGTAGATAAGTTAATGATTACTGAATGGAAACCTTTTTCTCAACACAGATCCACAAGATGGCATTGGACAAAGAAATGGCCATGTTCTCAAGGTTAAGAAGAAATCGCAGGAAAGAAGGAACTTAATCCAGTCCTCAAAACTAAGCATTGACAGCAAAGGCCTGGAGAGACATCTCAAAAAAGGAAATGTTCTGGCAGCTACTCAGCAGCCTCCAGCTCATCTAGTGGATTTAACTATCCAGGTTACTAATGGTCCTTCTGTATCAAGTGAATCAAGCAACTCAAATCTTCCACCAATTAAAAATACTACCGTAAGGTCCAGAGAAGGAGATTTTTATGCAATGTTGTGCTCAAATGTGGAAGATTCCACTGGAGACAATGAAGACCTCGAAGATGTTATCCCCTTAGAAGAAGAGCTCCTTTCTGTTGATTTTAATAAACCTCCTCTTGATCAAAGTAATAGGGTTGGTGGGATAGCTCTAAAACAAGCAGAGCAACACAACTCTGAAATGGCCGTTGGAGGTGATGGGAGAAGGACTGAACTTTCCCACAGATTAATAGGGCAACATATTGCAACAGGAGAGCCAGCTGCTGAGCCGTCTTCATCAGTGCAAAGGAAAATAAGAGACCAAAGAAAGCCTCATTCACGTGAAGAAACGCTTTTGGAAGAAGCTCATAAAAATGAGGGTGAAACTTTGACATGCAGTGGAAACAGTCTGCATGCTGAATGCAGGCCAGAAAATACAACTACAAGTGATGTGGTTATTAATACTAATTCTGCTGAAGACTGGCAAGGCAATAATGTCTGTAGTAGGGAACAACAGAGTTTTGAGAACAATCTAAGACGTTATGCTGGATTTGTTAGTTCAGCTAGACCAACAGTCCAGAGGGCTTCCTTGCATTCTACATTTAATATCCCAGAATCCTTAGTGCAAACTGCTGCTTTAAATGGAACAGAGGCTACGGGTGGTGTGGATGTGGCTACAGATTCCATGCAAGTCACAGAATTCAGCGGAAGCCCAAGATTCTCTGTGCGCAGACAGCTCTCTCCTATAAGAATTAGGGATTCCTATTCAGGTACTGAAAGCTGTCAGTCCTCATCACCCAGTATCAGCACCTTTGAAGATAGTAGTCTGCTTGAGGATAGTATAAGCAATAGTCTAAGCAGCATATCTCCAAGTACTATTTCACATGATGAAGATAACTTTCTGAACTCCCACAGTTCATCATCATCCACAGATTCATCCCATCCATCTAATTTCTGGGCAAATTTCACGGCTCACCTTCACATGTCTGCTCCTTTGCCGGATCAGGCCCCGATTTTCTTGACGGTGTCTGATTTGAGAAATCAGAGCACCTTTGTGAGCAGTTCACCAAGGTCAAAGGAGATAAATAAGCCTGAGATAGATCCTGAGAAGCTAAAAAAGCTACAAGAAAGGTGAGCAGTATGGGGAGAAATATCCAGAAATATGCTTACTTATTTTGCCTGATGTGAACCTGTTTAGTCATTGTTTAATGCCAAAGTTCAATTTGAAAATTTGAATGGGATAGATTTATATAAATCAAAATGTAATGTTCGTTTGTGGGATTAACAGAACTCAAAAACCACTGGACGAATTGACACCAAATTTGGACACAAGACACCTAACAACCCAATGTATGTCCTTCACTAAAAAAAATATGATTTTGTCATTTGGGAGTTGTAGTTGCTGGGATTTATAGTTCACCTACAATCAAAGAACATTCTGAACCCCACCAACGATGGAATTGAACCAAACTTGGCACACAGTTCTCCCATGACCAACAGAAAATACTGGAAGGGTTTGGTGGGCAGTGTCCTTTGGTTTTGGAGTTGTAGTTCACCTACATCCAGAGATCACTTGTGGACTCAAACAATGATGGATCTGGACCAAACTGTACAAGAATACTCAATATGCCCAAATGTGAACACTGGTGGAGTTTGGGGGGAAATAGAATCTTGACATTTGGGAGTTGTAGTTGCTGGGATTTATACTTCACCTACAATCACAGAGCATTCTCAACCCCACCAACGATAGAATTGGGCCAAACCTCCCACACAGAACCCCCATGTGGGCCACAGCAATGCGTGGCAGGGGATGGCTAGTATTTTGTTTAAGAGAGATCACTTCTACTGGTACATCACTGAAGACATAGACATCCCTGTGCTATAGATATATTCAAGAATATACAGTGCTTCTCTCTGCTGTATGTCCAACAGCTTAGTTCTATTTAGAGAAACATAACTTATGCTTCGTTTCTAAAAGAAATCACCCACAATGTGGTAGTGTATTTAGAATTCTCAGTGTTAGATTTTTTTTATTATTATTTTTTGCAAAAACCAGTTGGGAATGGAATTTGAATTGGAGCCATAGTGCAGCAGGAAGTTATTTAAGATCTTGTTGTTATGATACTTTCCCTTCAAAGCTGTTACTAGCCACTGAAATGGCAACATATCTACCTATCTGTTCTCTCTCTCGGGGGCATAAGCTCTTAACATGTCTGATTTGGTTAAGGCTATAGTGAGGGAGGAGATTAGAAAGTGACATGGTATTTGGATTGTTATTAAACTTGTAAATTTAGGTAAACTGCATTTAAATGAGATGTTCTCTCGGTTCTAGAATTAATATTTTAAATTGTTATAAGATAAAAAATAAATTGAAGTAGGTACAAATATAAAAATGATTTCTCCATGCCTTTGTTGTACATTGAGAGCCAGTTGTATGTTGTTATCGGAGCTTAAAATGTTAGTACAAAAAACACTTAATTTATTCAGATTTTAATTGGAGGGTCCTACATCCAAGTGAATGTTATCACTCTTGGGAGAATGTTCTAATTCATTAAGTTAATTGCAAAATTGTTTGTTTGATTTGAAAGAAATTTTAGGGGGGGGGGGGAATAACTATTGCTGCATATTGGTGGATTTTGTAATCCAAAGCAATTTGAAACTGGCAGGTTGGGAAAGGGTAGCCTGAGGTGCGGTGTCTTACAAATCATGAATTACTCCTTATCACTGGTCTGCTCAAAACAATGTACTGTATAGGATGCCATCTCTTAATCTGATGAAAACTTGGCACACTGGAAATACTCCTTTACCAATTAATTTGAACTGTATTCAGGACCAGAAGATCCTACTCATATGGTAGATGAGAGAATTTAGAAGGAATAGATTAGTTGTTCCTTCCTCCTCCTGAAGCTTATATTTTTAAAGTGCATTTTTAGTAAGTCCTTTTCAAGAGAATTCTCCAGAGCTTTCACTATTTAACATGTAGAATCTTTGTAAATTCTATTATATCTCCAGTCTTCTAGCTGAAGATTCTGAAGAAGAAGGTGATCAATGTCGAATATGTCAGATTGCTGGAGGATCCATAACCAATCCCCTGCTAGAACCATGTGGATGTGGAGGAACTCTTCGCTTTGTCCATCAAGAATGTCTAAAAACCTGGTTAAAAGCTAAGATAAAATCAGGTAAGTAGTTTGTAGTTCAGGCAAAAAAGGCCCAATAAATGTAGATTTATTATGGTAATTGCAGTACTACTAGCTATGACATATTTGGAAGCACAACTAGGTTTTCAATCTAGATGTAGCTGTGGCCGGACTACAGCTGGTAAGATGGCTGGGATTTCTGGGAGCTGCAATCCCAGACATCTGGAGGAGCATAGTTAGGGAGACACTGAGCTAGGGAATTGCTGTCCTAGAGAGAATTTTAAAAATCAAACCCATAAATAATTAAATCCACAAAAGTGGAGGGACAACTGTAATTTTTTTCTTATACTTTTGAGAGAAAATTGATTTATCTGGACTTCAGTGGGCCTAGTACAAAAAGAACTAGTTTTTCAATCTGATAGCTGTGTGGTCCACTTTCTGCATATTTTTAACAACTGCAGAACGACATCCTTACATTGGGCCTGTGAGTGCAAAGAAAGCCAGAAATGTATATGGCTCCTGCCCAGCTTACTTATTTGAACGTATCTCTCTCTACGTTCCACCTCATAATTTAAGATCTACTGGGGAGGCCCTGCTCTCGTTCCCACCAGCGTCTCAAACGCATATGGTGGGGATGAGGGACGGGGCCTTCTCGGTGGTGACCCCCCGCTTATGGAATTTGCTCCCCAGTGAGATTAGATCAGCCTCCTCCCTCCTTACTTTTAGGAAAAAACTAAAGACATGGTTTTGGAGCCTTTGGCTAGTGGGCGCAGCAGCACTTTAGGCACTGAACTCGGACAATAGGATTGTTTGAAAATTGGAAATGGCTTTATGACCTGTGATTATGTGATCTGTTCTATGTGGTTATGTAATTTTAATTAATATCACTGTTTAATTGTTATGTAATGGATTTTATATTGCTGTTTTATATTGTTGTTTTGATACTGTTGGCATTGATTTGTTGCCTGTGTTAGCCGCCCTGAGTCCCCCCTCGGGGGTGAGAAGGGCGGGGTAGAAATGGTCTAAATAAATAAACATGGATATTGATGGGCAAAGAGCCATCACGTCCAATTACTCTCTGCCTTTCTCCCTGGCCACAGATGATTTGTGTGGATGGTTCTATCCTCAAAGGAGTATTTTAATCCTCTAATGACGTTCCTGTGTTCCCAAGTGAATGTCTGCCCTGACGATCTCATAGTTGTTTATTTATTATTTATTTATTTACAGTATTTATATACCGCTTTTAACCCTAGTTAGGGCAAAGTCTCCGTTACTTATTTCAGATTAAATTTAAACAAAACACTTTTTGATTTTTCTGCATAAAATATAGTGTCTCAAATAGTTTAGTCTAGAAAATATGCCCAAATACCAGACAATTGGTGTGTAGTAGTTTTCTGATAGCTGTGTGGTCCACTTTCTGCATATTTTTCACAACTGCAGAACTATATTCTTACATTGGGCCTGTGAGTGCAAAGAAAGCAAGAAATGTATAATTCTCCCAAGGAGAATTTTCTGTCTTTTTTATTTATACGTCTGTTTTTAATCTCAGTATTTTTACTAACAATGTAGTTGTTTCCATCTGTTTTCCTTATCACCCTAACAGTTATAGGGGAGACATAGTAGTAGTACCTCGTACATTGAAGTAGTACAAACACAATACTGAGGAATAACATCTCAGCCTTTCTTCTGTCTTAAGCAAGCAATTATCCTTCTTTTTGTTAAGCACTAGCTATCCCCTGCTACGCATTGCTGTGGCCCAGTCTGTGTATATGTGTTTTGTGTGTGCTTATGCGTATAGATGTGTATATATTTGTGTATATGTGTATATATGTATGTTTGTGTATATATGTGGTTTTGCGCATGCGTTATAATGTTTTTTTTGTTTTGTTTTTTGGCTTTTAGGTCTCTTCTGTTGTGTTTTTCAGTGTTTTTATGAGTGATGGTCACTTATCCTGATAGGTGTATGGTGTCCAAATTTGGTGTCAATTTATCCAGTGGTTTTTGAGTTATGTTAATCCCACAAATGAACATTACATTTTTATTTATATAGATAAGGCTGAAGTGTTGCAAGAGACAAAGGTCAGCATGGAGCTTTGACCATTTGAGCAGGATGATAGGAGCACCCGGTGGTGTAATGGGTTAAACCCTTGCGCCAGCAGGACTGAAGACCGACAGGTCGCAGATTCGAATGCAGGGAGAGTGCAGATGAGCTTCCTCTGTCAGCTCCTGCTCTCCATACTGGGACATGAGAGAAGCCTCTGACAAGGATGGGAAAACATCAAAACATGATGAGCTCCCTCTGTCAGCTCCTGCTCTCCATGCTGGGACATGAGAGAAGCCTCCCACAAGGATGGGAAAACATCAAAACATCCAGGTGTCCTCTGGACAACATCCTTGCAGACGGCCAATTCTCTCACACCAGAAGCGACTTCCAGTTTCTCAAGTCGCTCCTGACACAAGGAAAGAAAAACGCAGGATGATAGCTCCCATTTCTCCTCCTTTCCTGATAAAGCCGCCCTCTTCTGAGAGATAAGCCTTAACATGGCTGCCCAGCAGCCAAGACGTGTGGGAAGGAAATCTATATAATATAAGATCACTATTTAATTTATTTACGTCTGGTTGAAATACTCTAAGCAACTGCTATGGGAGGAAATTGCAAATCTGAGACTTTTATAGAAGTCAAATAAAATTACAGCTGTTTACACTTTGAAGTAGATGAGGAGTTTCTGTCTTTCAAAACTTATGTAAAACAAAGCTAAAATGCTGGTCTAAGCTTGTCCATGCTTGTCTGGCTGTTGTTTTTACGTGGTCTAAAATGCTCCATGTGACCTATGCTATGTGATGACATAGCAGTGTTCCTAGATTATTCTTGGGAAACAAGATGCCGTAATGTTTTGGATTAATAAAATAAACCCCAGCAACTTCAATGAATTTATTCTGTCACTTGGCCACAGTGCATACCAAAATAGGAAGAAGATTAAAGGGAAATATATATTACAGTGTAAACATTGTCAGGAACAATTTTAATTATCAAGCATGAACAGTTTAGTAGAAACTGAATACTGGTGATACCAGAACCAATATGATCTGGGAAGCTAAGCAGGGTCACCTCTAGTTAATCTTTGGATGGGAAACCACCAATTAATACCATATGTTGTTGGCTATATTTCAAAGAAAAGAACTGGCAAAACTACCTTTGAGTAGTCTTTGCCTAAGAAAACCCTATGAAATCCATGAGGCTACCATAACTTGACAGGCAGCTTGAAGGCACAGACGCACATGCACACATATCATAGAATCGTAGAATCATAGAATCAAAGAATTGGAAGAGACCTCATGGGCCATCCAGTCCAACCCCCTGCCAAGAAGCAGGAATATTGCATTCAAATCACCCCTGACAGATGGCCATCCAGCCTCTGTTTAAAAGCTTCCAAAGAAGGAGCCTCCACCACACTCCAGGGCAGAGAGTTCCACTGCTGAATGGCTCTCACAGTCAGGAAGTTCTTCCTCATGTTCAGATGGAATCCCCTTTCTTGTAGTTTCGAAGCCATTGTTTCGTGTCCTAGTCTCCTCATATAACACACAGTGGTTTAGTATTAATAGCAACTTTTAAGAATTTAGATTGCATACAAAAGAAAGCTATGGATTTATGTTCTTCAGGTGCTGAGCTTGGTGCAGTGAAAACATGTGAACTCTGTAAACAGAGCCTTACTGTGGATCTGGATGATTTTAATGTGAATGACTATTACAGAAACCATCAGCAGTCTCAGGTAAGAAACCAGACTGGCGCCCTGATAAAGTCCTCCTGTAATCCCTTAGCAGACAGGGCAGGCAATTTGCATTGAACAACGGGGTGATGAAAAACTGATTCTAAGAGTGCAGCAAAGAAAAAAAAGGCAGATTGAGTGTTAATTATTGCTGGAGAAAAATGAAAAATAGACACCAGGTATAATTTTACTATATATAAACCTGCTGTACAGCTATTTTTATTACAGGCCGGAATGTTTTACAAATAAGTGCAACAATTAACACAAGTGTACTGGAGATGCAAGATAGCCATGTTTACAAATCTAAATGCAATCTAGGTTACACTGTCACAGAAAAGACACAACTGAGCTGGAAACTATATAGAAAAACATCCTCATATTTTTCTTATATTGAGATCATCAGAGCTAGCCCTGATTCTGTGCCTTTCTAACGAGAATAATCAGAGCGATTGGCATAAAAAACAGGATTTCATGGTTATGGCCTCATTTGTATTAGTCTAATAGATGACCTCTGGACTACATTGTTGCAGAACTTTAAGTAGGCCCTAAATTCTTACTTGGTTTTGCTTAGCCTGTAATTGAATTGAGAACGGAGCTATGTATTATTCTCCTTAGTGCATTTATTATTGTTCTATTATATCTCATGATTTCAAATTTTCATTGCATACCACCTTGGAAGAATGTATCCTAAAAGTTGGTGTCGGAATCACAGACGCCTTAAAGGGCCAGACTCAAAGTTAGTTCCAAAACAGAGTTTATTGCAGCAAAGGACTCAGTGCCTCTGGTCAAAACTCAAATGTAAAACCAGACCTGGTTCAAAAGGTAAACGGAAATATAATCCGGATTATCCGGCCAAAAGAACTGTATTAAACACAGTACTCCGAGGTCACACAAAGAAAGCACAGCGTGCAATAGGTAAACAAAAGCAGTGAAGCGGCAGGGAGAGAAGCGTAGTCAGCCAAAGTCCAGGGTCGTAGCAAGAGAAATCCAAAGTAGCGCGGTTCCAAAGTCCACAGAAGCAGCATCGTAGTCTACCGATCCAAGGTCCAAGAAGGGAGAAATCCACACTCACGAGAATCCAATTCGAGACGAAAGCACACACGAATAGGAACAGCAACCTGCAGATCCCAAACCCAATGCTGAACACGAACAGGCAGCGACAAGTCCAAACAGTACCCAATGCACGAACGTTTACCAACACCTTGCCTTCTGCAAATATCCCCCATTTCCAAACCCATTTTTATCTACACATCCTCATTATAAGATGAAATGACCACCGCCCCATGATTATCCTTTGCAGCTGCTCACAACTCTTCACGTGAAGTCCTACGCCCATCCCTCCATCTTCTCCATCTCCTGTCAAGACTTAGATCCCCCCAAGACTCAGCTGTATTCCCCAATTGCCAGTATTCACTCCCAGAGAATCCCATAAATGTATCACTAGATGTTGGCTCCACACAAATAGCCTGCACTTCCTTTACCTTAGTCCAATCCATGGTGTCATCCTCGTTTCCCCCACTCTGTGACCCATCATCCCCAGAGAATCCCTCAAATGATTCCTCTTCTGTAGGTGCCGTAAGTATATCCCGGATCCTCTTCCTTTGTCACTCCTCATCCGATACCTGCTCCTGAATAAGCCTCTTTCTTCCCCTATTCCCATCCATTGTGTCTCCCTCCTCTCCTTCACTCATTGACCATCCTCAGGGAAACCCTCAAATGAGTCCTCATCTGTAGGTGCCACAAGTATATCTTTTTCCTCTGTTGTTCCTCATCAGACTCCTGCTCATGAGTAACCCTTTTTTCCCCTTCTGGCACCCATACTACTGCTTGCAATGTTACTCACAGGGTCTTCTACAACAGTTGGCTTATAGAGATTTTAAATAACTAAATAATCCTCCCTAGTGGGAGAATAACAGAGAATAATTGTTTTGGTTGGCAAAACATCTAGAATTCACTTCTCCCTGACTCTTACTTCAGTCAGATTGATTTTTCTGGATGCTGCATTTCAAAATAAATAAATAAATAAAAACTGCTAATGTGTCTTCTAAATTTTATTTGGCCCAGTGCATCTATAAGGTGTGTGCACATAAAGCTGCTACCTAATTGATCTCTGTTTAAGTCTGCATCTGTCTCGTTCATTTAGAAAGCCAGTCTGATTTTAAGAACACAAATATTGCTGTATCGGTGAGTCAAGCAGAATACTTTCCCATCACAGAGCATTCCTCAGTCTATTTGGCCCCAAGTGTGAGTTTTATGACAGACAGGTTAATGCTGGGCCCAGCTGGGAGAGAATAATTTTGTGACACCATCTGGAAAGCAACTGAGAAGATCTCTTTCTACATACAGGCCCAGGATGACCTAATGAACTCAGCTCTTTACTTTGTGTTGCTAATTCACTTGTATGAGCAAAGGTTTGCCGAACTCATGAGATTAAACTACAACCAAGCCTCCAGAGTCAGGGTAAGAAAAAGAAAAATACTTAATTCCTTCCTATTTATATAGGAGACTTTGAAGTGTATCACAACAGTACCTCAGTACTCCATCAGTGAATGTTGTGTCAAATATGCAAAATATTAAGTCAAAATTATTTTCCCAAATATCCCAGTACAGCCTAGGGTTCTTCAGTTCTCTGAGGGTTTTGCATTTTGTCTTTGCAGTTATGTCTTTATTGTAGTAAATTTGCAAAGGCTGTGATATAAGGAGTAAAGCCACTCCAAGAATCATCATGACCAAGCCTCAGCATTTCCAAGACTGTGCTTAGGATGTTTAATATGTGCATAATTTCTATCTAGACATGTGTTAATGTGAGACTATTACTGTAGATAATCAGCTTTTATTGTGTAATTCAGTGTCCTGCTTCTCACTATTGCACAAACAAACAGCCTGGGTGTTTTGGAATCCTTGTTTGTGGCCCACTATGGGAGCCCAAGCCCCTAAAATCCAGTCTCCGTCATTCCCCACTAACATGTCATTCAGCAATCTGGCAGAATGACATGAGTGAGACTGTATTCAGGTGGAGACATGTGGGAGGGACTCATTCCATGCTGTGTTCTCCACATCTAAATTGCACTTTCCCTACCCTGCCCAACCATTGTTTAGTGGGCTGCCTAGGGCACCATTTAGCAAAGGAAGAATGTGCATGAAGGACGTCATAACCACATATCTTTCCTATGGGTTAAATTATGTTAGTTAAATTATTCCACCAGCCTGCATAACAACTGCATAAGGGATGTTCTATGAGATCTGAGCACACCGAGCTGTCTTAAAATTTCCCCATTTCATTACATTGAGACAGTGTCGGTGGAACTGTGTGTACAGTAAACTAAAAGCAAACCAACAGCAACTCTCCTGTCTTGGATGCCAAAAGAATGCAGTTCATCACAATCATGTGTGCGTGCACACACACATTTATTGAAGCAATTAACAAAGAGAAATTAAAAAATATTGACAAGCTGGAATGTGTCCAGAGGAGGGTGACTAAAAAGACCAAGGGTCTGGAGAACAAGCCCTATGAGGCGGGTCCCAAGCCCTAAACAGTTTGGGACCCGCCTACCTGTGTGACCGCATCTCCATATATGAACCCACATGATCTCTCCGATCATCTGGAGAGGCCCTGCTCACAATCCCACCTGCGTCGCAAACGCAATTGGTGGGGACGAGGGATAGGGCCTTCTCCGTGGTGGCCCCTCGACTCTGGAACTTTCTCCCTAAGGATATCAGACAAACCCCAACATTGGCAGTCTTTAGGAAGAGCTTGAAGACGTGGTTATTCCAGTGTGCCTTCCCAGAATAGGAAACTCCTAGCATCATGTCCCAATTGCACTTTACTAGAGATTAAGATTGTCTGCACACCACACATATTTCCAAAAACCTATCCATCTCACCTGTCATGTTCAGCATTTTAAAATTTTAATCATTACATTTGGCCCGGCCTTAGTTTTAAATGTGTCATGGTGTTATTGTCTAATGTTTATTGCTATTGTTTTAATGTTTATTGCTTGTTTTATGAGTTTATTTATTGTTGTATTTTGTTATGCTGTTGTTTTATTGATGTGTTGGGCCTCGGCCTCTTGTAAGCCGCACCGAGTCCTTCGGGAGATGTTAGCGGGGTATAAATAAAGGTTATTATTATTATTATTATTATTATTATTATTATTATTATGAGGAGCGGCTTAAAGAGCTGGGCATGTTTAGCCTGAAGGCTGAGAGGAGACATGATAGCCATGTATAAATATGTGAGAGGAAGTCACAGGGTGGAGGGAGCAAGCTTGTTTTCTGCTTCCCTGGAGACTAGGACGCAGAACAATGGCTTCAAACTACAAAAAGGAGATTCCATCTGAACATGAGGAAGAACTTCCTGACTGTGAGAGCCGTTCAGCAGTGGAACTCTCTGCCCCGGAGTGTGGTGGAGGCTCCTTCTTTGGAAGCTTTCAAACAGAGGTTGGATGGTCATCTGTCAAGGGTGCTTTGAATACAATATTCCTGCTTCTTGGCAGGGGGCTGGACTGGATGGCCCACGACATCTCTTCCAACTCTATGATTCTATGAAATGAACCAAACATTTAGTCTTTGGTTATAAAATGTAGCTCAGTTTTGTCTTGGAAAAGATGAAAGTCAAAATGTTGTGCTCATTTTATGTGTTCTTTTAGTTCTTTTTCTTAATTGCTTCAGTATGTAGGTATGTATGTTTTTGTGCCTGTCAGTGTTGCTTTGTCAGGAAAGGGCATGGAAAAAGTGTGAGGCAAAGGATTCTGAATAAGAGTAGGAAAGCAGGAGAGAAGGGGAAAATGTGAGGGTGAAGGAAGCCCTGGCCACATCCTCCATCATCATTGTTCATGCCCATTGCTAGCAACATGACCCCAACACACAACTTATTGCTATGTGCGGCCCTAAGGGCAAAATGGTTGACCACCCAAGAATTGTAGGATGATCCGTATTGCCACTGGAGCTCTGGGCTACAAAGTCGTCACCAGCAAAGTTTCTTTTAAGAATGTACCAGCAACACAATTGTATATGAACACTTATCTATCAGCATCCTTGATTATCTGGGAATTATATTCTGTCACAATATAGCTAGAAAAATGTCTAAGGCTCCTTTTACTGTGTAGTACCTTACAAGGAACGATTCAGCTTTCTCTGACATGTTGAAAACCTATAGGTTTCATCCCCTTCAAAATCATTGCTTCACAGGAGCTCTCTGTTCCTTTTGTCTCAGTGATTAATATTGTATTAATTGATGTCATAACAAATAAAAGCATTAAATAATGATTTGCAATTCTAAAACTAAATTCCTCCATGTATATAACTGCACTAGTTGTACCCGGCCACGCATGCTGTGGCCATGTGTGGTTTAATGGTAATGAGAGAAAAGAGAAAGAGCTGGATTTGTGTTGCTGTGGCCCAGGGAAGACTTTGTGGTGTCTTCTTTTATGACCAAAGGGGTTGGACTGAATGGCCTTTGGGGCTCCATTCCAACTGCATGGCCATCTGTCAGGATGGCTTTGATGGTGTCTTCCCTTATTGCAAAATGAGTTCGGACTGGATGACCTCTGGGGCCCCTTCCTATACCCCCAAGAGTTTCCCGTGCCTGTCCTTCCCTGCACGGTGTCAAAGGGCCTCTTCCCAGCAATCCTCCCTCCCCGGCCTCCCTCTCTCTCCTCCGGTTCAGGGCCCTCTTTACCTTGTTGGGCTCTGCGCCACCCAAGAGCTGCAACTGCAGCTTCCCCACAACTTCAACCACCAACTCTGCCATTTTGACTGCTGGTGAGGCTTCTTTCACAACAGGAGTGGGCCTGCGGCTTCAATGCCTCTACGCGACAGACCTCTCAGCTCCAAAGCCTTCCTGAGAGATGGCCGTCCAGTTTGAAGGGAGCCCCAAAGGTTATGCAGCCCAACCTCCTTTGGCTGCAAAGGAAGACACTATTTATGCCCTCCCAACTAATGGCCAACCAGTTGGAAGGGAGCCCCAGTGTGTGTGTGGCTGTGCACACATGCTTGACTTGTAAGACTAGCTCCTTAACAGTGGCAGCTGCTCCTGCAGCCAGGCTTGCCTTGCAATCCTCTGGTCTTAGTTGGAGGGTTGCCTGGTGGTCACTTGGGCCTCTACGGTGGTTCTAGCTGCTGCCGGGGCTTGCCTTGCCAAGCCTCTACACCAGGGGTTTAAACAGAGGGCCAGGTCACAGTCCCTTAAACTGTTGCAGGGCCGGATTATAATTTGAAAAAAAAAATGAATGAATTCCCATGCACACTGCACACTTATTTGTAGTGCAAAATACACTTTAAAACAATACAATAGTTAAAATGAAGAACAATTTTAACAAATATAAACGCAAGCACGTCTGGTGGGAACGAGAAACAGGGCCTTCTCTGTGGTGGCCCCTAGGCTGTGGAACTCCCTGCCTAGGGATATCAGATTAGCCCCCTCCCTCTTGACCTTTCGGAAAAGAGTAAAAACTTGGCTCTTCGAGCAAGCATTTGGAACCTCCGAATAATAGACAAACTGAACTGGAAAATGACCCAGGAACGGCCCAAGACGATGGAACGGATAAGGACTTGAATGTGAGGATATAGTTTTCTGTTTTTAAAATTGTTATGATGCACTGTTTTTATGTCTAATTGCACTATAATGTTCTTTCGTTTATCAATGTATGTATTTTATGGCATCGAATTGTGCCGACTGTGTACGCCGCTCTGAATCGCCTTCGGGCTGATATGAGCTGGGTAGAAATAATGCAAAATAAATACGATCAATAAAAATAAATAAACTTAATATTTCAATGGGAAGTGTGGGCCTGTTTTTGGCTGATGAGATAGAATTGGGACAAACTTCTAAATTTTCTAGAAAAGGAGAACAAAGAAATATCTTAAAGACAAAACTGTGTGAATAAGAAAAAAGAAAAAGGATATACGTCCCTAAGGAGAGAAGAAAGAAAGACTTACAGTCTTGATCTTGAAGAGTAACTTTTGGCCTGGGGAACCTGGAAGCACGCTATTCCGTTTGAGACCAGCTCTTTGGTCATCAGTGTGTCCCCTCTAGCCCTTCCCTCCCCCTCCCCCCACCCCCTAAGGTATTTTTTTTGGGGAGTTTTAAGTTATTTCCCCTTCATTTTTAAAGTTTTTTTTGTTTGAAAGACATAGATTGGATTACTATGTGTTTTCGCTGCCAAATTTGGTGTAAATTCGTCCAGTGGTTTTTGAGTTATGTTAATCCCACAAACGAACATTACATTTTTATTTATATAGATATAACTATACAGCATGTAAATAACAATTTTCTGTGGAATTACAAGTTTTTAAAAAGATAGCTAGCTATAAAGCTTGAGTGCAAAGGAAGTAAATGTGATCATAGTGTTAAAAACGTAAACAGAAGTTTTGACTGTTTCCAGTATCTTTCAAAATTTGCAGCTTTTTCTATAGTTTAGCAGTGGCCTGGTTTCTCTTCTTACCTAGGTATTATAAAG